GAAGATTGACATCCCCTGATTCAGTTTAGCTAGGTTTATAGCATTCTGCGTCTTTATATTAGGTTGAAATTTTCATCAGTATAACAGCAACCCTTCCTACTTCACCCATATACACATCTTCAAAAACAATAATTTTCCCCCAGAGAAAGATATGAGATAGTTCTACCTACTGGAGACTTGGGGATATAAAGCTATAACAGACCTATGTGGACTTCTTGCAAGGTTAGGCATCCCAAGGAGGTGAAATTTTCTTGGTGAGTATCCCTTCCGCTAAGTGAACTAGGAACTACTGTGACCTACTGCGCTGAGCAGTGCTAGGGGACAGATGCTGCTCTGTGTGCCATAGATAAATAACTTGACCCGGGGGTGTTGTGGGTTAATGTGCCTATACCTGAACTACCTTAAAAATCAGTCTTCAGTTATGGTCACAAGATGTTTGAGACAATTAACATAAGGAGGGAAATGGTTTTGGGTGTCTCAGGTCAGCATCAGCTGAGAAAGTGATGAGGGGAACCATGCAGTAGAATATGGAGGAGATAGTTGAAGACCTCATGGCAGCTGAGAAGCACACGGACAGGAAGCAGCCCTTTTGAGGGTGTGATTCTAGGACCTAACTTGGAGTGTGGTCCTCCACACTCCAGAACTTCTGTGCCTCTTGAAGTTTTCATCACCACCCAGTAGCACAACCAGCTGCTGACTCAGGTCTAGATACATGTTTAGGGGACACTTAACAAAATCGTAGCAGGAACCCGGATCCAATCTGTTCTTGCTACTTATATATTGCAGCTACTCACTCGAAGACTCTCGCTTGCAAAGAGAGGATCTGATCATGCCTAGAGTGACAGTGGTTTTCTGGGCAAGTAAGTTTGCAGCTAAATGATCTGGAAGACTTGCTATTGGTACTTGAGTCTAAGCCTAGTTCCTTTCCATGTAATAGTACAGAAGCTTTCAGTATATGGCTGTTGTTCTTTCCATTCATAAAGTATTTACTAGATGCCATCCACGTGTGAGGCGCATCCTTGACTTGGTGCTCAGCTAGAGGGTGAAAGTGAAAGGTAAGATACAATAGCAGACTGAGAAGCATACTTCAGTTGGGATTTAAAAAGAACCTTTTCTCTGTGAGCTGCACCGAGGGTTTAAGTGTTGGTATAATCACACAACATAGATGGCAGAGGCTACATCATCTGTTCCATCACTCAGTCCTGAGTACTTCATTCACTCTCTGGATATTACTCTTTCTGATTCTACTTATGGGTTTATTGTGCTGTTTATAGTAAGTGTTATTCTTGACACCCAAATCATAATAATAGTTTTCCTCTTTTGTTGTCAGATTTAAAACCCAGTTGCTTAGAATTTATTTGGCTTACATCGTGAAATCTAGCTGTGGGTGCCTTTATATTGATTTACCATAGGTTAGCGTAACTTAAAAGGCAGACTAGCTTTGCAAAGCATATTAAATCAGAGTAGTCTCTGTTGAAGTTACTTGTTTCTGCTTCTATCTTCTCTGCTATGGGCCATTACTGCTTCATCAGGGTGAACTTCATGCTTCCTGGCAACATGAAATAGGGAAATTACTTTAAAAAAAACTAATTATTCAAAGGACAGAAATAGCTATTAATAAATAACTTGCTGCAAGGCATGGTGGCATATCTCTGTAATCCGAGCTCTTGTGAAAGAGAGGGAGGGAGACCACAAGTTGTAGGCCAATATGGGCTACATATAGCAAGACCATATTTCAGAGGACAGAGCAAAAAAGGGGGGAGTGTTAACAAAACACAGAAGAAGTAATTGCAGGCAGTCAGTCTCCTGAGAAGCATACCTCATATCGGATCATTTCTGTTAGCTCCCTGCTTCTGTGACAGCAGCATATCTGAGATGCCTGACTAATGGGGGGGGGGGGAAGGGTTACTTTGGCTCAAGGTTTTTGTGTCAAGGCAGGACATCAAGACAGCAGTTCAGTGTGAGAGGGATTGATGACCTCATGGTTGCTAGAAGGCCAAAGGAGAGAGGAAAGTTCTGGGGTCTCAACATCACCTTTCAGAGTATTCCCCAGGTGCCAAACTTTCCCCCGCTAGCCCCACTTCTTAGAGGGTGTACCCTCTCCCATTAACAACATAGGCTGGCAAAGAAGCCTTCAGCATGCGTGCCTTCAGGAGACCATAGCGGATCTGTATTCACCCGCCTTGGAACCTGTGCATGGGATTTGTATCAGTAGCAGTCGGGAGGTATTGCAACCCATAGTCCTGTTGTATGTATCAGTATTAGACATACTATTTATGGAGGGCTTTGCATGATTTGTTCACAATATGGAAATACTATCTTGGCATTTGCCTATTTATCAAATTGTAACTCGTATGAGAGAAATAAATGTTAGATTTCCCCCATTTTCAACTTCAGGACAGCATAAAAAATAACAGCTCTTTTCCAGTGAGGAAACTCTGATTAATTAGCTATTATGTATTGCTGTGATCCACACAAACACCAAATCCTGTGGTGAGTATATATACACTCAGCGCTGTCAGGCTGGGTGAGGGGCATGTATTCAGTGTCGCTAGACTCTAGGGAGTGCTCCGTGATTTCAGCCTGTGGCTACTCAGCATGTGGTCACCGCTCTCAGAGTCTGTGGTGAGTATGTACTCAGTGCTCATAGGCTCCGAGGTATGTGTGTACTCACTGCTGATAGACTCTAGTGAGTGCGCACTCAGTCCTGTAGGCTCTGGGGAGCGTATACTCTTTCTGTACTGTGGTGAATGAGAAGTGTGCACTCAGAGCTTTGGGATTACACTACAGGGAGCAGTTGGATGCTGGATTGGCAGAAGCAAGCAAGTGAGTTTCCTGGAGGCAGCCCACTCATTTCTGCACAGCGGACGAATGGGCGTATCCCTGGTGTAGGCAGGCCCCAAGGAATTTGCCTCAAGACTGTTTATTGTTGCTGTACTGCCTTCCCATGCTTGTTTCATGTATCAGCCATGGCAGAGACCCTCACTGCTCATTGCTTCATTCTGTTGGGCAGATTTCCTGCAGATTATTTTGAAGATGTGCCTTTATAGTGCTGTTTAAATGAACTGGTGATTTCATAATTCCTGATGATGATTATGAAGAATTTCTGACTTGATTCAAGTAATTTAAAAACCCTCCTGCAGTATAGCAAAAACTGCTAGGAGCTCTATGGACATGTGGAGATATGTCAAGCACATGAATTACACCAAGAAGGAAAACAAGGTTGAAACAAATTAATAATCAAGGAGATAGATTCATTTTAGGTTTAGCCCAAGGGTAAGGCCCAGGTGTACACCACGATAAGGAAGACTATATGAAATGGAAACAAAGAATAAATGGTTAGCTATATAAGACAAGACAGACACCTGTTTCTTGGAAAAACTTTGACTTAAAAACCTTACTTTGAACACATAAATGTACGTTTGAAATAAGATAAAAGTCTGCTTTGAACTCATAATGAGCATATAGATAAAGCCACTGCTTTAAACTTATAATAAACAAAGTATCTAGATATTAAAATCAGTAGTCCTTCTGTAACTCCCTTTTATGTATCTATTTTTGAATGATTTAATTTTTTCCATACATTGAGAACCTTTGTATTAGAATATATTAAAAAAACCAAGACAGAATTAAACATTTGTTGAGGCCACTCACTTCATCCAAATATTTTCTGTCTAATTGTCTGTATATATTGTATATGAGTATATTTATATCTGTATGTCTTCATATATGTGGATGAATGGTGTCTTTGGGACCTCTCTTGTTTTGTCTATTGATTGTATGTGTGTATGTGCATGAAAGGTTTGTGCCTTCTTTGTCTGACAAAGGTGTATGTTTTTATATGTTTTTAAGTTATTAAGTTTGGTAAGTGATAAGCAGTCCTGTTTTATAAGCCTTCTTAATTAGGACTCTACCTTCCAGCAAGCCACTGTTCACTGCTGAGCCATTAAGTTAAAAGGAACTAAGGCTTTTCGTTTTACAACTCCTTGTATTTATAGCAAGAAATTGTCAGGGCTGTGGCCGCTTGTACTCTGAGTTAAAGGAGCGACATGTCTTGACTGATTAACACCCTCTGCTGTCTTTCTCTCTAGAGGCTCTCATGGCCAGTAGCCCCTGGGAGTTAAACTGTATGTAAAATTAAAGGTACATACACAGTTAAACTGTATATATAGAGAGCCCCAAATAGCAAGGCTATCAGCCTGGGAGTTTGAAAGTGTATAGAGAGAATAGCAAGGCCACCAGCCTGAAAGTTTGAGTTAATGTATACAGAGAAACACCAGCTATCAATCAGCTGCTCACCACCGACACTGCAACCCATGTTGGCTCACCCTGTGTGCTGCAGCCGGTCTATAGAAGTACCCAGTGTTTCAGACTCTATGTTGAGTGACTGTGCATGCTGTTAGATTCTGTGGTGTGTACACGGCGCTGGCAGAACCTTGGAAACACATACAAAGTGTTTGTAGGTTCTCTGGTGAATGGCTGTTCAATCAGTGTTGTCACACTGTGTGCTGAGTGTGTACACAGTGCTGTTAGAATCTGAGGAAGGCTTGCTCAGTGGTTTTAGACTTTGGCGAGTGTGTGCTTAGTTATGGCAATCTGGGGCACATACTAAGTGCTTTTGGAGTCTGTTAGGCTCTGTGGTGAAAGTGGGTTCAGTACTGTTAGACTCCAGTGGGTGTAGTGTGTACTCACTGCTATTAGACTCTGGGGAGTGCACACTCGTGTTTATATATTCTAGTGGGTTAGTGTGAACTCAGTGCTGTTAGACTGGGCAGTGTGCACACTCACTTTTATACTCTTATCAGTGAGTGTAGGCTCAGTGCCATTCCACTCTGGAAAGTGCATGCGCCCTGAGTCTGACTTCCATGTTGAAGGCGTGTGCACTCAGAGCTGTTTTAGAGTCCGCGTGAGCGTGTACTCAGCGCCGTGAAACGCCCCAGGGAATGTGTGCTCAGTGCTCTCAGAGCAAGTTCACAGTGTCAACGTGTTTCCTATTGCAGGTACATGTTGGGGCTTGCCGCCGTTCCAGCCGTCATACAGTTTCTCGGGTTTCTCTTTTTGCCCGAAAGCCCCCGGTGGCTTATTCAGAAAGGGCAGACTCAGAAGGCCCGCAGAATCTTGTCCCAGATGCGTGGCAATCAGACTATTGACGAGGAGTATGACAGCATCAGAAACAGCATCGAGGAGGAGGAAAAGGAAGTCAGCGCAGGTATGTGCAATTCCCCCTGCGTGGTTTTAGCATGATTTAACGTGGCTTTATACACATAGCAGAAGAGAAACGGTATGTTTAACTTTAAAATTAATGTAATAGACAACCGGTGCACATTTCCCAGCAGTAACAATTAGCACGCTCAAGTCGCTGTTTCCAAGTTTGTGTTTAAAATGTGTCAACTTTGATTCCATTCTGCATTAATGGGCAGTTCATATGGGGACACATGTGGTTTTTCATTCCTGAGAAAATGACAGCCCTATATGGAGGTGTTGGTTTCTGTCAAGCATAGTATTGGCTGTCTTCAGACCCCTTTGCTGACAATTTTAGTAGAGCCGGAGACTGAGGCCTTCCCTCGGCATCTGATAGACACTGCCAGAAGTGAGGCATTGTGGGGTGAGTGTGCTGTGACATATCTTTGTGAGCGTGTGAGGCACGGTCACCCTACTGCTACAGTCTTCTTCATCAGACCAGGGCCCCAACTACGATGAGCCTGCTTTCTGAACACCTGGCTTACATGGTGGATTACACTGATGTCTGAACATTTTGTGAGCGTCTGCTGTGTGTCTGGCAATGTTGGTGTCTCTAAAGAATCACCCTGGTGCAGAACAACGAGACTTTGCCTTCACAAAATTACATCCTTTAAATGGGTTCAACACTGTGTTCATTTTTTAAAATACTATTTAAAAATTATCCACTTACAGTACAAATAACATTTTTTCTATTCTGAATTCTTCTTCTGGTACCTCAAGTTAAATATGAGTTTCTTTTGTAATTATCAGTACTCTTGAAACCTACGTTCTAATTACGTGTGATTGGAGTGTAAAACTTGGAATATAAGGGCTGTTGAATAAAATGCTGTGTAGAAATTTTGTATTTATTAATTAATACAAACTCATGTAGAGGCACGGATGCTTCTGATTTTTACTATAAACTAATAAGCACAAATCTGTTTTAAAAATTCGGCCCTGTTTTGTTTTGTTTTTGCTTTTTTTAGGATAGGGTTTCATGCAGTCCACAGCCCACGATGGCCCAGAACTCATTACGTATCCTAGGATGATCTTGAACTTAGTCATGATGCTGACCTTAAGAACTCTTGCTCCTCCAGCCTACACCTCCTGTGTAGTGAGAATGTAGGTGTGTACCACCATTGCCCAACTTGCACTGAGCTTCGTTCTGATTGCTTACAAATACATCTCCTTGAGCTGCACAGATGCTGACAGTGCACTCTAACTGAGTTTCCTGACTTCTGGGGCTTTCTCACCAAAGAGACTGCATAGACGCTTGAGTCTCCTCTGTAGTTATCCATGGGTGCTTCTGTTTTTATCAGTGGATTTTACAAGCCAAAGAGGACATCATTGGAGGGGGGTAGATAAATTTGTTTTTATTTCTCATTGTTGCTTTAGATAAATACTTGGACAGATTTTTTTTAAACACTGTAATATGATATACCAAGGCTTATTTAGTGACTGACTCTTCCAAACTTTGGAAGTAATGCATTTATCTCATCTCTCGATTTGCAGTATATGGCATACTGTCTTCTCAGTTAATTTAAAAGTTCATGCCATGTTTGTGTTTAAAAGGTCAGGGTCGGGGTGCATTCTGGCATAAGTGGACAGAAATGGATTAACAGTACCAGGGCCTTGCTTCCTTCCTCATCAGCTGCAGTTGTACTGGGGAGAGTGGGTCCTGTACCTTGCCCAGGAAGCACAATGGATCTGGCTCTGTGTACTCAGTCGTGAGTTAAATTCACAAATAGATATGAGTTTCAGGGAGACTACGTCACTTGTTTCAAGTAGTGATCAGCAGATGGTTTCACGTGGCTTCAAAGTTACAGAGAGGTAGGCATACAGGGCCTGAATGTTACATAGCAGCTATGTAGCTATGTTAAGTTCAATTTTTTTTAACATTTGTCTGCTTGACTTTAGAAATTAAGAGAAGTTTTCATTCTACTTTGCAGGGTAACTTTGTGTGATCTTTTAATTGAATTTTTTTATTAATTACACTTTATTCATTTTGTATCCCCCCATAAGCCCCTCCCTCCTCCCCTCCCGATCCCACCCTCCCTCCCCTTTCTGCATGCATGCCACCCCCCAAGTCCACTAATAGGGGAGGTTCTCCTCTCCTTTCTGATCTTAGTCTATCAGTTCTCATCAAAAGTGGCTGCATTGTCCTCTACCATGGCCTGGTAAGGCTGCTCCCCCCTCAGGGGGAGGTGATCAACAAGCAGGCAGAGGCTGCTCTTCAGATTATGTCAGAGGCAGTCCCTCTTCCCATTAATATGTAACCCACTTGGACACTGAACTGCCATGGGCTACATCTGTGCAGGGGTTCTAGGTTATCTCCATGAATAGTCCTTGGTTGGAGTATGAGTCTCTGGGAAGTTCCCTGTGTTCAAATTTTTTTAAATAACAGCCAAACATCTTTAATGGCTTTCTGTGGTCATCACCCTTGTCTGTGTATCCCAGACGTGACTTGAAGAGTCGGAGTTTTTTGTTTGTTTGTTTGTTTGTTTGGGCATGTGTGTTCACAGGGTATTGGAGAAATAAGGTGTTACTTTATCACTAGACATGAGTGGGATTCTTGTACTTTAGATTGTAAGAAAGTCAAAGTGTGTCTGGGGCTGTAGTTTATAAGCTGTTACCTTTCTCCCATAATAAGGAAAGTGTAACGAGCCAACAAGAGGTAGGGTTCCCTGGAAGGCAACCTTTCAAAAATACGTGTATGTAGGCATGTGTAATGTATTTAGCGTATGTGTGCGTGCCTGCCATAGCACGTGTGTGAATGCCCTGGTGTGTGGGGGCAGGGTGCGGGTGGGAACAAGTGGGAATCCATTCTTCTTTTCTATCATGTTGTCCCAGTGATCAAACCCAGGTTGCCAAGCTTGATGGCAAGTGCCTTCACCTCCTGAATCATCTTGACAACCTGGAAGGCAATTTTAAGGAAGAATTTTGAATGTTGAGTGCTGTCTGCCACCTTGTCCAATGGGCTCATGTTCTAAAGTGCATGTCCGTGTCTTTTACCAGAGGTGAAAGGAGGGAGTGCAGAGGCTGCCCGTGCCATGCGATGTCCAAGCTTGGGCTTCTCACAGGGAAGACTGTCTCTCCACCGAGTTTCCCACACAGACTGAGATATTGGGTATCAAGGTTGGATCAGAAGTAGAACAAGGGATGTGTATTAGGAAAAGTTTCCTTTTCAATAGGAGCATACACATTATGATGGGTACACTATTGTAGGAAGCCAGGAGAGGCCACAGACGTGGAGCAAGGTGGTTGTCATGGTAGCTTCAGTGCTGGACAGACAGGGGAGGTAAGGTAGACAGCCCCTGGAAACCTTCAGGCAGAGGATAGTGTGCCTTTATAGCTCATTGGAGTCACCTGTGACACAAGTCAGTCATCGGTATGTAAAATAAGGCCCCCATATTAAAATAAACACATGATCTTTCTTTTACAACTATGGTCACATAGCTCACCTAGATCCTAGTACTTCCAAAATAAACATATTTAAATAGATCACGAGCCAGAAAATTAGCCTTGAATTTTGAACACTAAAGTATTAATATAAGTAAATACATTAGCTTAATATATTTATTTTATATATGTGATAACTGTGTTTTCACATTTGTTTATTCATCCATTTATTCACTTATTTGTTTGCATTGTTGGAGATTGAACTCAAGGCCTCACACAGACTAGCTAAGTACTACATCACTGAGCCAAACTTTAATATCAGTGAAATGGAAGGAGTCCTTTGGTAGCACTATTCCAGGTTGCAGTGTGATATAGGCTTACCTAGTCCCTGTCACAGACAATCAGGTGATGCTCACCCCCAAAACATTTAGGCCAGCAAGATTGTGATTTTATCAGTTTGTGGACTAATTGAAGTGGTCAAATGCTGGCTGTATGTTTTGCTTTTGGTGAGGTAGTTTACTCCTTAGCCTAGAATGGATGAGTGTGGTGTGAAAAGGCATTTATTCAGCATCTCCCAGGAGTTTATTTTGATTTCTCTCCAGCTCTTTGGGGTCCCAATTCTCGTGTTTGGAATAGACAGCTATATCTCTCTCTCCCTTCAGCTCTTTTGCTCTCTCTCTCTCTCTAGTAATTTTGCAGTTAGGTCATAAGTCTTCCTGTAAATCATTTTCTCTTTCAGTGAATTGATGTTGTGTGTGGCCGTTTTTGCAAATAGCATTTTGCAGAGAGGTATTTTCAGGGAGGACCAATATCATAGCTTGATAGAAATTCTTCTGTAGCTTCTTTAGAAATCCAATCCTGAGTGGTGACCTTGCAGGGAAAAGGCTCCTTGCCTTGTCATCTGCTTTCTTGAGAGGAGAGCAGTCTGCCCCTGAAATGGTCATAGGTTGCATACATTACAAAGAATTGAAATAGATGTTGACAGTTTCTTAGGAAGATGACCCATGACATTCTATGTATTGACAGTTCTATATCTAAAATCCTAAAATTTGTTGAAAAATTCCCTGAACTGTCAAAGCCTCTTGGCTGTAATATGTACACATCGTGGTAAAGCATGGACTGAAACAGAAGGCCACTGGCCTCCTGCCACTGAAGGCCACTGGGCAGTGCATGGAGGTCAGCAAATTGGTTTTCTTAGTCATGATGACTGATTTAAGAAGCTGTATCATTCAGTGCTGCTTTAAATAAATATTGCATTGATTTTCTAAATCCCAAAGGGCTATTTAAAGCCTTATGAAGAATGGAATAGTTCTTAATTTTACATTAAGATGTCATTGAGTCTGTTATGTGGGACGAAGAGCAGCAGAGATTTTCCACATGCACACTTGTTGAAGGAAGCCTTTTTAATGGCTGTGGGCCTTCTAACCACTTCTCTTCATTTGTACTGAAATTCAGAGTGTTTTGGTGCATACATGGGTAACTCATAAGGGCTTTGTATGTCTGTTTTCTTGCTATGTTGTATGTAAATCTAAATCTCGTGAGAAGAAAATCCATGCTGAAAGAGCTTAGTGTCAACTCCCATTCACACAC